GAAAGAGTCATCGAGCATGCCCAGATGCTCGTACCATAGGGCCATCCGGAAGCCGTGGATCTGCCCCCTGGCCGGCTGCCTGGTCGACAGGTGGTAGGGTTGGTAGGCCCCCATGGCAATCTCTGAGTCCCGTGCCCCGTCCATGGACCGCTGGTTGATGTTGGCCGACCCAATTATGATGTACTCGTCGTCAACTGCCACGACAAATGAACGTAACAAATTTTTCTCAATATATAAATGTATTCATATCGAATCAAACTCTCAAAAAAAAATAAAAAAATGCAACAACTACTTACCTATCATCATCTTGGCATGAACATAGATCATAAAGCGGCGGGCCTGCTGAGCCTTCTCGTAGTCCGAGCCGGGCTCTGGCCTTTCAGACGGCTCGTACTCACCACTCCTCTTCACCTCCCTATTACCGAGACAAAAGAACGTCAAGTAGTTCCTCGGGTCCTCCACGATACCCTTGGCACGAAGGGCCAGAATAATGTCCTTGTACATCATCTCCATCGTCCTCCTCTGCCAGTCAAGTATAGCCTGAACCGACGCACTCTCGGGAATCCCCTCGGGCCACATGGGAACCACGATATACACCGTGAACCTCTCCCCAGCCTCGATCTTGCTCACAATCTTCAGAGACAGCTCCTTAGGGATGAGATGCAAGGCCCCAATATCCTCCACTTTAATGTCAGATGAGTCCCACCCGAAACATGACCCAAGAAAATACTGGTTTTCAATGTAAATGAAATTCTTTGCACGGCGGATCGCGTGGATGTACGCATCCTGGATGCTCCGGTCGATGGTGTTGTCCTTCCCACTGACGAGCCCGGCCCGTGCAGCCTCCTCAGGCGAGGCGGGAAAGTCGAAGGCTGCTCCCTCGTCGATCGAGCGGAATATCTGCACGTTCCACGTCTCGTGGTCGTCCGGGTACACGACTGGGGAAGGAGGGATGATGACATCATCGAGTTCCCTTAAGTTGAGGAGCACGTCCTTCCCTCCTTGCTTCTTCCACCTCTGCGCGAAATTGAAGAGGACATCCCACGCGACGGGCCCTTCGAGACGGGAGTGAATGTCGTGCCAGGGCTCACGAGGCCCGCCTTTGGTAATGGCAGCCCCAGTGTAGTTGGGCTGGTGGAAGTCGTCGTGGTGGGCCGTGTCGAGTGTCCGGAAGAGCGAGTGGAAAGGCGAGTCATATCTCCCGTCACAGAGATCAATCCCACCAACAAAACTCACGATCCTCCTCTTGTCCGACTGCCCGCTCGGCAAATCACTGTCGACCACAACAATCTTCTGGTGGTGGGTGAACATGGTCGAAATCTGAAGGTCCTGAACGAAACTCCCACCGTCATCCGGGTTACGAGGGCACAGAACACAGTTCACGTCCGTGCCTTGGAAATATTGCTCGGTCTCCTCATCGTGGGTAGCCATCAGACCATCCTTCTTCAATAGGCCAACTGAGGTTCGGTCGTCCCACACGAGCATAAGCACCCGAACGCCTTCGCTCGCTTTCTTCTTTAAAAGCTCGCCGAGAGTAATGTCTCCCCCAGGCTTCTGCCTCCTCGAGTCACGTATCAAAGTGATCTCAGTGTACACGGACCAGCCTGTGATGTAAATCAAGTGCTTAGCATTAGTGATGGCATCAAAAACATCTTCCCAGCATCTGTGTGGCTCATAGTACTTTCCCCCGGATAAGGGAATCTTAGGGATGAAGTTATCAGGAATGTGAGCGTCCTGGTATAACGAGACACGATTGCCTGTTCTCTGGGAGAAGAAAGTGTACGGGACGCCAGGGTACCTGGCACTCTTGACCCCACGGGCCCAGTTCCGGTCGCGAGAGACGTCGAAAAACTGAAGCTTCACATGGATCTTGGATTCTCCCTTTATCGGTTTTTTGTCCTCGTCGAGTATCTCAACCCACCGGTCGATTTCTTCGCCGTCCAGGAGCTCGTGGACAGGGACATAGGCCCTCCCGATTAAAGTGGCACCAATCGGATTGTCATCCTTGACCGTGAATATAACGTTCGATGCATTGTGAGCGCAGTAGATGTGGAAAGACTCGTACCACCTGGGGTTGTCGGGCTCCTTCTCGAGTGTTCTAGTCCGCCCGACTCGGGCCTTCTCCAGGTCAACGGTCGCGTAGATTTTGGGGGTCCCCTTGCCAAAACCCACAGTCTCCTCGATATTGGCAATGATCTAACGGGTATTTAGTTCAACCAATGAAGAAATTAAATCAGTAAAGACCAATGGATTGTGTGATTAGTAAAGAAGACAGTCAAGATTGCACACATAAAGGGATTCAGTTTTAAGCTACTTAAACATAATTTCATATATGAACTACTACAAGTTTGATTTTGGCTTGTGTTCTTGATCCAGGGTATACCGACACAGATGCCAGAAACCATTTCTGTAATAACTGGCTGCAGAAAATTTAAATCAGCCACTTACTTTTAAGGAAAATGCTAAGGTTCGTTACGGAACCATTCCGTGTGAATTTGTAACCGTTAGATCATCATGTAACCGTCGTGGATAGTTGATCCAACGGTTACAAACCCGACGGAAAGGTTCCGTAACGGGTTTGTAGAATCTCCCTACTTTTAATCATCCAATAATAGTAATAATAATAATAAAAAAAAGAGAGTCAAATCTTAAGCAGAAAGACCACATCTACAGACACATACCCACAATTTTATCTTCAGAAAGGAAAAAAAAAACAATAAACTTCAGCAGAAAGAACTTATATACCTTGTTGAAAAAATTGCCCCCACCTCCAGAGTGCAGCCTATCCACTTCATAGATCGTCACATGAAGAGTCCCATGAAGCAAGATCTGCGCCATAGATTCTCACCTGCGACATCACTTAAAGATTAACAAACAAAAACACAAAAAACACAAAACAAAATCGAACTACAGTAACTCCACATGAAGATTAAAATAAAAAATGTAAAACAGAACAATCAACAACAAAGTTGAAAAGATCTGAAAATAAAGAAGCTTACAGAAAGTGAAGACACTCAGAAGGGTAATGTGATCTGATATTCAGTGTGAAATTTGCTACAGAGGAGAGGAGTGTACTGACTGAGAGAATGAAGAAAATATCGTCGTTTTAATACAAAGGGGCCTATCCTATGCATACGCGGTGAACTGGTAAAACTTTTGAGCATATTTAACTGCTCGGATACGAGTTAGTTGAGTTATAATAAAATGGTTAATGGTTATTTAACTGTGTGAGTATGAGTTAGGTTTTGAGTTACTTTTGGTTTTGATTGAATTTAATAGTTAACCAGATTTAGTTTTGAAAAAATTGGTTGGGTTATGTTTGAGTGAGATTTTGAGTTTGTATTAAAATAATTTTTAAAATAAAATGATTAAAGGTTATTTAGTGTAAAAGTAGAGGAGATGAGATATGAAGTGATGAATAGTTAAACTTATATGACTGGAATAATGAATTAAAATTGATACAAAATGTTGGGAGAATTAATTAGTATTATTTAGTTATATTGGTGATATGATTGATTTTCGATTAGTTTCCTCTCCACAGAAGAAACAAATCGCAGTGCACCTCGGTCCGACATTCAGAGACGGTCGCCCACTCAAAGACTCCGGTTCGAGCACTGCTCCATAAGTACTCTAGTGTAGCCACAGCTAGCTAGAACCGCGCTAGACGACCAAAATCTTCTCCCAGAAGGATTGTCCCTGGAGCTGAAATCGGAGGTCGACCCTCGACCCACCTCCTACTGCCATCCCCCTCAACCTGACCAACCCGACCACCTGAAACCCCCAAACCACCAACCGACCACGCGCCACCCGAAAACCACAAACCACCAACCGACCCCCATACAACCATCAGCCCACGAAAACCACCCATCCATCCCGAACCATCGACCCGAGGAGATGACAAAAGGGTAGGGAGAGACATACCTCAACCCCGACCAGATCCGAGGATGCTGGTCGGAACTCGATGGACGCCACCCGTTGGAACTCTGGGTACCCCAAACCCGCGACACAGGCGTCGTGAAATGTCAGTAAAGGTTAGCATCCGGTGAAGATCTGAGACTCTAAAAGGGCCGAACGGTCGCGACCATCGGCGGACGACACCGTGTCGCGTGGAGAACTCTGTGGAGAAGAGGCGACAGACGAATTAAGATCTTCTTGAGTGAGGATTTTGGGTGAGAGGGAATTTGGGATTTTTTTACTTTGGTTTGATTCATATGTACTTAAATAACTTATGATTATACTCATTTATTTTTAGTAATTATCAAATTTTGAAAATGTGATAGGTCAATTATCTAATTTAAAATTTTAATATTATATACACATATAACTTATAATATTTTATTTATATATGTTCATGTGTACATGATGATTATGGTGCGATTGGACACAAAACTTGTCCAGTAGTCCAATCCATTTCAAATCTCACAAATAATCCTAAATTCAAAATTTTAACTTAAAATCTAGTTCAAATCTAACTCAATTAATCCTCTCCAATATTTCAATATGGTATGAAAAATGTACATCACAATATAATTAAGTATTTTCCAATTAATCATTACCACAAATCATATCAACAAAATTTATATTTATCCGTTCATATATTTAACTAACAATCAAATTCAGTTACATCTCTTCTATTTTTACATCATATTAACTTTAATCATCACATTTTAACTATAACACAAATCCAAAATCTAATCCAAAACTTCACTAATCACATAAAAAAAAAAAAAAACTATGTCGAATTGCCTCCCTTACTAGCTAGTTACCTCTAAAATATGATGAAATTAATGAGAGAACTCCTGCGGATTGTATGCACCGTCCAATACGTGTTGTTGTTTCAGTGTGTGCAGGCAGGAGTTTGTTCTATGATTAAAATCAGACTTAAAAAAATCAACGATGTACCAAACAGTTGTCCAGCTACAATAGTAACTTTGCCCGTATGCCGACAAAAAATCTTATCCACAGAAAATCTGAGCTAACAAAAACCAAACGCATTGACACGCATTAACATTTTTGCACGTGACAATTGACACCCATTCCCACCTTTAATTTAAACTAGACTAGTTGTAACTTGTGCATTTGCACAGAAAGCTATATGATAAAGAATAAAATAATAAAAAATTATAAACAATAGTAAAAATCATAACATAATCATCGAAAAAAATGTTTTTTAAAAAAAATAAATATTATTAAACAGTTATTTATGTGCAACGTTCGTGGTTTTTTAATCGTCAGAATCTCCATCACCACAAATCATTATCTTCAAACCCCTTCGGCTCGTAACTCTAGAAAGCGCCACGTACAATTGCTCATGGCTAAATACATGGCTCTTCAGTAGTAAGCTGATGTGCGACAGAATTGTCCTTGACTCTTATTGATTGTCATAGCATAGGAAACCATGAGCAGAAACTGTCTGCACTGAAACTTGAAAGGTACACTCAAATCGGATGGTATGATTTTGAGCATACGAATAAGAACCTTATCACCAGCTCTGGCATCGGTTCATATTTTGCATTCGAATACATGGTTGTTGAGCTTAGTAATAACTAATCGAGTATATGTTGATCTCAAATTCGGAGAACAAAAACATATCAATCGAATTGTACACTAATCAAAGAAAAATATAAATGATGGATAAGAATTTTATTGGCTGCCAATGGAAGTGCACCCTTTGTCGTTGTACCGGTTATGCTGATATCTTCATAACTATCACTTGCAAGCCCAAGTGGCCTGAAATCAGTCGATTCCTTTCTGAAAGGAACCTCAACCCTGAGGACCGTCTAGATATAATTTGTCGTGTCTTTAAGGCGAAGTTTGATGCACTGATGAAGGATGTTTGGACCCATATAGCACGGCCAAAGTTTCATCCACCACACATATATAGAACATTTAAGAAGGTGGTAGAGGCAGGTATTTGATACATGAAACCCTACCACGTGCAACATTTTCGCCGTTTCTTCTTCACTTTTATTTTTTTCTCTCCTCTAACACAAACACTCGGATCGATTCCTATTTTGTTTAGCTGTCATAGTCATGCTTTTAATTTATCAACGGGAAAGCTATTGATCTAGATGTTAATTGTTTGTTTAAAGGTTTAATATATTTGTATGCTTTTTGTATTATTTCGTGGATAAAGTTTTCGGATCATTTCTGTTGTATAAATTTTTTATGACAAATAATTCTAGTCGGGAAACACCTTAAATTTTTTATGGCATAAATACGACCCTCATTGATTTTAAACTTCTTCAAATTTTTCAGCAAAGCAACCCGGACCTGAAGCGTGAATTCACTGACCCTACAAGATAAAAAAAATAATATTATAAAAAATTGATATTGAAATAGTATGTGTTAAAACTTAAAAATGACTGAAAATTTTTTTATACCTTGACATCGTGAAATACGTACTCCAATCCGCCATATTGATGTTTTTCTTTTTATTTTCATTTTATCAAAGATCTTGTTGAATAATGGCGAATCAACCTCAATATTATCAAACATAAAGCCATTTGAAATGAGAATTTGGCTGATTTTTTTTATTTTTTTTCCTATTGTGCAGTATTTTTTGCTGAATTTGATTTTGGTTCTTATTTTTTCAGCTATTTATAAAGTTTTAAGAAATGGTCATTGATTGCATAATTTAATTGCCAAATGATTACTCAGTTTTAAAGAATAATTGATTGATTTTAATTTTTTTTACTGACTTTAATATTGTCCTGCCATTTTAATTGATGGATTGCATAATTCTCCATTTATATAATATTTAAAATTTAAGATAAATAATGAGTATATCATATTGTAGAAATTTTATGGTTTGTAAATATAAACGATATAAGTATAAACTATTTAACCTATATATAAATCACTATAATGATAATTGTAGAACATAATAGTGATTATGACCAATTAATTAGATAAAAAATGATTTGGTTATGTCATATAAAGTAATTAACTATTTTTATTAAAAAATATTAATGAGTTAAAAAATAATTATTATTTCAAATAAGTAGCTTAAAAAATCTAAATAATTTTTTTTATATGTATAAACTTTCTTATATTTTTTAGTTATTATTATTTATTATGTAATTATAAAATATATATTTAATTAATTAATTAAAAATATAACAACTTCTTTTTTTACAATTAGTTGAATAAAATGTGCTGATTTTATTTTTTGCAATAAATTCTTTGTGAATAGTTATATATATAGAAATATAAATATAATCATAACGGGAATGATATTTATATAAAGTACATTAATTATTATTATTATTATTATTATTATTATTATTATTTTTGTAATTACTACTACTATTTGAGGCTATGAATTTTATTTAAATAAATGCATTTTTTAAAAAATTAAACACGTTCTTATGTAACAATAAATTGTCTTTTATAAGAACGATTGTTTTATTTTAATTTTCTATTTTTGTATTATACCACAAGTTTTGGTAGAATAATTTGTAATCATTCTATTTAAAGAATATATAGAATAAAAGTTAGAATTATTAAATGAGCGCATAAAATCGTAACAATTAATTTCAACATTAGTATGCTTACATATTAAGTAAAAAACTAAGCTACTATGTATAAAAAAAAAAGTGGAATATGCAAATTTTTATTGTTGTGATAATTCCTAATTATATATATATATAGATTATTTTAAATTTTAATTAGTTTTTATTAGATGTCATAAAAGAAAATAAAAAGATGAAAATACCATTTAAAAGCATGAAACGTTACAATGTATAATCATAAATGTACAATAATAATCCATAATTATAAAAGTAACGTTCATTATATATGGAAGGTTGTAATATTTATTAGGTATAATTTATTAG